ACGAAAGCTAATTAGTTAAAAAAACGCCTATCACACTCGAAAGTGCGTTATAAAAATGGGAAGGAGAATGTTAACAGGTGACAAATGTGGAAGCACTTGCGAGGAAAGCGCGAAGAATTCCAGATGTTGACCATCTGGATACAGCACACATAGTTGCGCAGCATTCATGCAGATTCTCTCTGTGTGAGGTAATAAAGTCAGCACATTTGTGTAGCTTAAACCAAGGTCCTTTATGGTGAAGCATCCTGAGAGTGGATTATTTGGAAAAATTAAGGGATCTGGAAGATTGCAGAATGAAATGTCATGAAACTACACTTGAATGGTAAGAACCCTATTTACCACGGTGAAGACAATATCCATAAACGTAGTAAACCGGCTAAGAGAAGTTGATGGTTCGCTTCGGTTGTCATCCGTAGAAGTTAGAGTCTGCTTTGGTATTACCCCATAGCTGCGGGCATCAGCGCCCACACACTGAAACTTTCCCCTAGTTGTGTTCTTCGGGCGCTTCGGAGTTTTGCTCCTTGTCTCTGACTTGTTAACTCTAGTGCAGTTCGCCGCATTTTGCCCATCACCGTTCTCTTGAACGAGCGTCCATCAAGCAGCCAGCTCGTTTTCGAGTTTTCGAAATCTCAGAAGAATATATGATCATCCAGCGCAAGACTCGTCTTCATACACAACAGATTTTGCTGTGATTTTGCTGTTGGCGCGCTTTGCCTGCCCTCGTTTGCAACTCTAATGAGAGCGAGTGCTAATCCTGGATGGCAAGGCCACCTCAATAGGCTTATCTTTAAACATAGTAGTGGCACTGGTCGTGCAAATGCCAAAAAGTTGTTGTCCGCGAACATCATGCATAAGTATTTATTCGCTTTTCAGATTGTAATAAATACTTTCGACTTTTCATGATGCAACATGACAAATATTTAAAAGAAAATGGTCGGAAATGAACCCGTTTCTTAAGTCACATTAAAGAAAATTATGTACGGTACGAATTATATTTAGAAACGACTCAGCCGTTTTGGGGATACCAAAGATCCTGAGTAACTTCTGATATTCGTGGATGTGAGCGCCCAGTTTTCCTAGGCTACTAATTGCGCGTGAATCGAGTGATTTACCAAAATTTCCGTCATCAATTGGCTGAGGAGACCCCTTATATAATCGAATACGCCTGGACTAAAACGAGATCGGAGTGCACAGGGAAATCGATTTTTAGGATGGCGACAGAAATGTAGGCGATTTTGAAAACCCATCGAACGATCTGCTGAAGACTCAAGTCCAGATAAACGGGGCGCTGCTCAACAGTTGAAAGTCTGCAATTGTTGACAGTTCTGAGACACAAACTTTACGACGTTTGTGGCCTCCAGGCGTTGGTGGGGCCGCGTTAACCTTGGCACCAAAGTCAACGAGACATTAGTTACTGGAGTACGGTCTGTGAAATATAAGGGGATATCAGCTCTACTATCGACTGTAGTCGTTCTCAGAGGTTGTGGCAGATGACCTGAAAGTTCACGGCTGTAGACCTCATCGCGCTGCTGCTCCAAATATTTGGTTTATACTATCAGAAGCCACTTGATGACTGTTGACTACGGATTCTCGAACCTGAGGAAAACCGTCGGTGATCTCGTGATCGTCCATAGACCCCAGTGGCAATCGCCGTAATTTCAGCCACCGTTTGCATCATCAACTGCTCCAGCCGGTTCGTATGTATACTAAAGCATTGAGGAGTCGAGCTGACGGTATGATTGGTAAAGGAATCCTGACAGCTCGCAACGTCACAACATTGTCGGTAAACTTTGTCAATTTGTCAATTATACCCTGAGGTATTTTCGTGACCGTGTGGACGTTCATTGACATGTTTTGCATTAAAATGTGACTGAAAATAGTGGTCTACAAACTAGTTTGACCAGCAAGCTGTTGAATGCGACAAGTGGCTTCCAAAACGAGATATTCATAAATGAGTTAGACCATGACGGGTCAGATTGGCACAAATTACGTGCTAAACAGGCTACACAGGGTCTGTGCGAATCCAAAACTACCGCCGTATGCGTGGGAGAAGAGAGGATGGCACGCTCAAATGTGTGTTTCACGACTCGCCAGCTATTATTGCCAACCCCGGCATCAGGTGACTTATAGGCTTGGATGGTAAATTAATGCATGACAATGAGAAGAAGGAGTGAGTTCGGCATTGGGATAGATCCCGCGGTACATTAGCACAGTTTCTACTATGCCAAATGAGTTCTCTAATCTATCATGGCAGAATTATGTCGTGGCTCCTAAGGCTCCCGACTGGCGGGGTTACAATTCCTTCCCAGGTACGACAGTTAAGCTCATTTGCTCTTCCCTAATGTGGTCTTCATGACATTAAAAATGTGATACTCGATCCGTCCATAAAATCTAGTGCATGGTTTGGGAACCAGATCGTGTGTGGCATGCGCAGACTGGATATTTTGCCCTGTCAGTCACCGATCTAAAGCCGTTTTCGGTTGCCATCACATTTTCTTGTCATGGGACACAGAAGGGTGAGAGGGAACAGGGCGCGGTAAATGTTTCCAAAGTCTGCTAGGCTATAAACTAGGTCGCGCGAAAGTCACCATTCTTCGTCAATTAAGTGGAACATGGCGGCAGACGTCGTCATTGGCGACGGCCGGGCTGTAACACCCGTCTAAGCAGTCGTGACGGTTTCTGATTGACAAGACTCTCGCCAGTAAGCGGTGGGCGTAGCCCACACCAACGCGCTTCACTGGGGCTCCCATCAAATTATTATAGGGTCTTTCAGTAGGACCTCCAGTACTGAGGTTGCACAGTTCCCAGATGCACTCGTAAGGTAGGCTGCGCCGATGGCGGCTGAATATATTTTTGTCATGTCAGATGGCTTTTCTCGAATTCGGTCACACGCAGCACAATCCAAAGTTCCGCATATTTCAGCGTGAATTCTAGGTTTCTGACTAAGAAGTGTGTTTTATAGTGGACCGATGTTCACTTTTCGCCATGTGACACCAAATGGGACATTGAAGGATGACTGCCGTCATGGACGGAACTTATGGTGGATTTCCACGTTCGCGAAGTTGACATAGCCAAGAGGCGAGATCCGAGGATATTGCATCAAATTTGCCTACACAATAAGTCCATTCCGCCAGTGCACGTTGTAAATTTCCTTATTGTGAGTGTGCTCAAGAGATATCCAGGTAATCACCTGTTAAAAAGCAGTCCGAACTTCCCAAGCCCAATAAAGCCGACTACTGAAATGACTGTCAGCATACTACTAGCACGAACCAACCAGGGCTTTTCGTGTACATTAAAATTGATCCGGCTGAAAGTTTTCAAAGTGTGAACGCATTAAACGATTTTTTTCGTTTTTAGTTCGTAAATGCCACGCTTTTTTTACATCTTTCGCCCACCATTAGATTCATGCATTCTGCAGACTAAAGCTACATGCAACATTCTTGCAATTTAACTATATTCATTCACACTTTTGCCGTTTAAGTGGAGTTTTAGGGACCTCTGTCACATACTCAAATATACTGTTTGATGCTCACTGACAGGGAAAAGACACCAAGATCAAAATTTCCTTCAAGGAGTCCGTAGGGGGGCTATGAGAATGGCCAGGGGTCAAATCTACTTTCCTCTTAAAACCCGTTCATCCCTCTACTTTATAGGCGACTGCGCAGGAATCTCATTAAAACGTTCCACATTGTGAAGGGATTGAATTGCAGCCTGACATTTGAGGACCTTTTGAATTCGCAACCACGACCAACATCCGATGTCACTCGTTAAAACTCCGTATCCAGCTGGCAATGCTAGATTCGTGGAAGTTCTCCTTCTCCGCTAGGGTAGTCAAACCATGGATTGCCCCTTCCGCAGATATTATGATGTCACCATCTATAGAAAGTTTTAAAAGGAACCTCCGAAATCAACAAGACCAATGAACGATCGAGCTCAACCCGTCACTTACTCACACTTTGTCGTATTATTATGGGACCTTTTAAAACATTTCGGCCGGCCTGGTTCCTCTGTAGATCGAGCCAAATTTTACGTTGCACATAGGGCACCAATTGCTCATGCCTATTTCTGTTAAAACACTGAACTGAACTGAAGGAGTTCCAGGGGGTAAGAATAGACTCTTAGGTGTCTCTTTGTATATATGTATTTAAAAGATCAGCGTTAAGTGTCCTAAAATCTTTGTATTTATTTAGGCTTCTTCGGAATACTTTCATCTATGCAATAAAAGCAATTTTGCTGCCCACACATTTTCTATTACGTGCCGAGTTTTCAGATCGCTCTAAGGTTCTGCTAAATATCCAAGCTTTCGTTGTTGTCTACTTGAAAAGCCATCTGCTTTTGTCTCTGATGATGGATTCGAGCAGGAATCCGAAACGTCAGGCTAATAAAGCTCTTGTCCCGGCGATCGTGTCTTCTTCTTCAAGACTGCTTTCTGGGACTCGTCTCTTTGCTTCTATTGGCAATGCTTACCAGTCTTGTACGCTCTTGTTCATTCTAGTTCTCTTTTGGGGTCACCTATATCCCTTCATGTTCTAAACTTCTGCTGATGTCACAAGCGCTTGGTTTGTTTGGGCCATAGCCAGAGAATTATAAAAAAATGTCCAACGTATCTGCCTTTCAAGGACTTGAATGTGGACTTAAATGTCAAGAATGCTTCCCCTCGATTTTTAAATCTGCACGCTTTATACAGTCTGTTAAAGGGGTGACACTTTCAAATCTTGCACTTCCGGGGATGTTTTCCAGTACTTGTAACTACAATAAATTAAAGTCCAATTTGCGAATATGTATGCAGCGTCTGAAGCTTCTTCAAAAAAAGAAGACCGAAGTTTCACTTAAATCCCGCAAGGAAGTTGCCGATTACTTGAAAATTAACAAAGTCGACAGAGCTCGTATTCGCGTCGAACACATCGTCCGGGAAGACTATCTCGTAGAAGCGATGGAAATCGTTGAGATGTACTGTGACCTATTCATCAGTCGGTTCGGATTGTTCTCCTCACAAAAGTATGTGCTTTGGAAAACACCAGCTCTTTAGAACATGTGATGAAGGCCTGAAGGAGGCGATTGCGACTATACTGTGGGTTTCTCCGCGCATGCAAGCAGACGTTCCCGAGCTTAAGATTGTCAGGGAACAAATATATCTCAAATACGGCAAGGAGTTTGTTGACGCTTGCCTCTCGAATGCGAATACTGCCGTCAACCCGAAAGTTATGCGCAATTTAAATCTGCACGCACCTCCCTGCAACCTTTGCGAGATGTACCTTGTGAGTTCACATCTCTCTACTAGTTGCTGGCTGTCCCAAGCCTGATTAGTTTCCCTGCCTTGACTCACTTCCTGTAACGTACTAGTCCAGTCAGTAAACTGAGAACTGAGGATTTCCTGTTGACCACGTTTTTCTGCCTCATAGTCTTTTTAATTCCAGTTTCGTTCCGTTGTTTGCTGTCGTCGTGGTTAAATTGATATCTTGTTTACTTCCCCCAAGTCTCTGTTTGGCGAAACGGCATGATTTCATTGGCAGGACCTACATAGAACTTGTTCTGCCTGCGTCCTCCGCGACTTACTGAAAACATATTAGACCTTTGACAAACCGCTAACATGGTTTTAGTACACAGCCAGTCTTCCGTGGATTTTTGATGTGTTCTTCAGACCACCGGTTTTCGATATCCACCGCGAAATTGGAAGGTCACTGTAATAGCTCGAGACTGCAACCGCAAAAACTACATTATCAGTTACATGTGTGAATTGCTGCACTAATCGCCCTAGAATAGTCCAGTCACCTGCGAAATTAGCTACTGCTCAGTGGCAAACAACTCGCTAATCTGAAAGTACAGCTGAGTGATCGGCGAACTTCGGTTGTATGGTCGTCAAACCCGTGTTCATGATAACGACACTCAGATTTATTGTGGCCTGACACTGACGTAACCTCATTCTATGACCCATTCGTTTTATTTGGCCTAAATCTTTCGCGATCGAGTAGATTTGACAATAAGTTAGGCACACTAAAGTTGTCCGAAAAAAAATGATAGACTCCGATTACTGACCACCACCGAAATTAATTAGGATGTCTCGGAAAAGCTGAAGAGAATCGGGAGCTACTCGGCTTGTAATCACCCTACACCTGCTGTAGAGAGGCTTTACTGCGGATCCAAACTGTCTGACATCGGTCGCTGAAGTCGCCAGGAAAGGCTTCGTGACGAATTTCAGTGTTCCAAGCCCCAGTCGCACAGCAAGCGGAAACAACCTGGAGGTTTGCATACTGGCACCATGACCTTCAAAACGCTCTTGGAGTGCGGGATTGTGGTCACTGGTAGGAAAACAACTCGGTCATTAAGCTTTCGGGTTATTCCATCTTTGTGGGCCGGATATCCGTCCAAAGGCCGACTGAAAAACGAGGGCACTTGGCTTACGTCATGCCCCCGAGACTTCATATCCTCCATTTTATTCCTTCTCTCGCTCTCTCTTTCGCTCGCTCATGAACCTCGACTCTTGCTGCATCCATGGTAGCCGATGCGCTCACTCACTTGCAAACTGGCTATTTTTGAAGACAGCGCGAGCTGTGCATGACATGTTGCAATATGAGAATTCTTTTGTTAACTATGCAGAGTTGACTTGTATGAGCATTGGTCGAGTGCAATTTTGGTGTTGACCTCCTCTAGTTTGGACGCGACAAATGATAGCTGACGCACAATGAAAACGCCAAACGCAGAGAAATGTCCTCTCTACCATAGCGCCGTCACTGCCAACCCTAGTTGTCATGGTGTTACACTTGCTTCGAGTGATCAAATCAAAGATTTACTCCTATGGCCCAATTGGTGTCACCGATGTACGTGTTTTATGCGTAATCGTGGTGCTGTCAAGGTCATAATTGTTGTAGCAATCCCCTACGCTATGTCCTGATTATATGCAAAAAGACAATGTACGATGCTCCTCCGGCTATGATGCAATGTGCCCTTGCGTGTTACTTTACCGCGCGGGGATTGGAATGATAGGACAGGAATTACGAACGGCCGGAGGTTCGTCAATTTCTCTACTCTGAACCTCGTTGTCGTTACGATTATTTGTTTCCATTACCCTAAGAGGCATCTGGTTACCTGGCGCTTAAACTGGCCACGTTCGAAATCGAGTCGACTGCGCACTTGTTCGAGAAGACTTCCCCCGGCAGCGAGAATAGTTCTGACCATACCCTTGTGAGGGCCAGCTACGTCCTAGACTGCATTCTGTCGGGATGGTCCGACCTTGCGATTTTACTGATTTTGCTATTTTTGCCGTCTCAATTATTCTGTCATCGCCACGGGCATCTGCCTCATTGTCTCCAACCATTTCACCGCATTTACACCAGTTAGGTGTCGTCATTTGAAACACTGACTCTAACTGAAGCATTGGCTCCATAGTACCTTGCTGAATGTGTTAGGTTACAGCGGGAATTACCGCAACGATTGGATGCAAATTGGGATGATCGAACTAAGTGGTACTGCAAAAGCCGCTAGCCTTCGTGGTGAGCTTCATCGGAACACTTATTTTGCGCGACACCACTTCAACGAACTCTAAACTATAATTCTTAAATTTTGGACATGCTCAGTCCAAGGCGACTAGCAGAAAAAAAACGATGATTTGATTGCATAAGGTCTTCTAAAATTTGGTAGATCACGGGCTATTGATTGTCGTAACAAGAGCAATCTTGTCACTGCGGCTACCTGCAGACAAAAACGAACCAATGCGTCTGTCCACTGAAGGTGCAATTTGCTCTCGTTTTTGCCGAATTCTCTACTTCCGCCTTCTTGTCGCTCACTCGCTCGATTCATGGATTTAGCTACCCACGGGAATCTTCCCTATTTTACCAGACTTTGCATGAGGTCATGCCTCCGAAAGTGTTTTACTTGGATCCAGATTTGCTTTCACAGAACAAAAAACAGGGCCCATGCGGGTTGTAAAGAGTAACTTCTTTAATCCGTCCAGGCAGTGTTCTCCCAGCAACATCCTAACCACTTGATGAACCACTTCCTTTGGTCTGCGCTGACATACCGTCCCAGTGTTATTGTGCGCCCTGATCCATGTATTACAAGTCATCAGTACACTGGTAACTTTGCAGTATCGACTAACTTCTTGATCGCAATGTAGTATAGAGTGTCTGAGTTAAGTGTGGGAACGGCCAGTATGTGCTGGAAAAAAAAGCTCAGAAGGGAAGACGGTCACTGTGGGTTTCACAGGCAGACCGGCCACCTAGTAAGTCTCGGAAGCTCCTTCTCGGACGGCGGTCTCAGAAAGTCCCCAGTTTTATCTTCTACGCACGCAGCCTAGCGCGACGCGTTCCTACATACCCCTGAGGACTCGTGGACATCCTGCGAGCAGCATATATTCGAGGGAGCCGCTTCGGTTCAAACGTAGTCGAGGTAGATCGGCTGTTAGGTCTGGTTGCCCTTGTTCTGTCACTTGCAGTCAGTCAATCCTATTGCTGAGTGGATGTTAACGATGATAAAGAAATTTTTATTCTTCTAAAGGTTGAAATTTCCCGCAGCTACGAGGTTGACTTCAAACCGGACCCCTACCTCCTTAGTGGCGGCTCCGGTGGCAGTGGTGGAGCCGCAATGCCGACTGCTCCCCTGGTAAATCTGGGTGAGCCGCCTGCAAAACCGTCCTATGACCATATCTTCGACCGTGGCCCCGATTGCAGCAACTTACCCTACCCCATGGAGCCCTCTAAGGACATGGACTCGTCTCATATGACGATTCCACCCCTACCGAAGAAGACGGATGATGATTCGGCATATATCGGTACGCACTTTTTTCTCGTTACAGTACACAGAGACATCGAACAATGTTTCTCTGATTCGTTATTCTTTGTGATAATGACTCCAAGCTTGCCTACTAGTTTATTACATGTCGTATGCGCGCCGTTTTCGTAACCAGCCTCTGATTATCAACGTAGTCAAAAACAAGCTTGATTCTCCTTGAGCATAAGGTATGCCTCAAAGCCCACTGAGCACTGAGTGAAATTCTAAAATTGGCTATTAAATTGAGTAGACTTCTTTAGAAAAGTACTGCACCGAGTTCATTTCTATGCTCGTTTGGCAGGAAGTTATTTTTTTAACTTAATTATTTCACCGAAATCAAGCATCGTCCCTCTCATTGCATTTATTTAGATTTACAACGTAACCGCTCTTTAGGGACGCACTCATGAGTCTTCTCCTATTACTTTGGATGGCTATCCGAAATTTTGAAAATACTGGAACTTGCCCCGTGAGCAGATCAAAGAAAGCCATACCCATCATCAGTCAGATGTCTTAAAAAGCATCCAGCACAATAATAGAGGCTGTTAGACGAGACTAGGACGGCAACCACTTTAGTTCCATTTATGGTTTCTTCAACCTGTCACATCCCAGCCAACACCCGCCGGAAACGACCGTGCGCACACACTAAGCGTGCACTTCGTCAGTGGAGTCTAACTGAGTGGTCGGCCATAGTGAGATCGAGTTTAACCGTATACCCCCATCGCGCCGCCTCACTAGTCTTTTTGAAGGTCACTTGACCATCTATTCACTCAGCAGCAGGCAGGCACCTAGTTACCAAAATAAGATAACCGCGAATTTAGTGGCGGGGCCGTCAAAAGGCGACCTAGGAAATACCAGCCAGATGTAGGTAACATTCAAGTATAGGTTGCGAAATCCAGAAATGTGCCAGTGTGTTGGACGATTTTTCGAAGGATGCAATCATGTTCACGTCGAAATCGGTTGTCTGCTACCTTAACTTCATTCCCCTGCCTTTGTTTAGATCCTGCCTGATTTCTATATAGGATATGGGACCTTTTCTAGGTTCTTGTTATTATTCTTGCGCGAAATATTGTTTTACTCGATGCCGTTAACGTTTGGCAGATGCCAGTCGGAACGCGCTGACCATAGTCCTCAGATCTTGCCTAATTCCAACTAGGTTGTGACTCACTGCTCAGTGGCCCTACTCACAGGATTGTGTCGGACAACGGAGGGTGGTTGACGGCACTATTCGCCATGGTTTATGGTCGATTGATCGCGCCTAAAAGTGTTACCACAGCACGGCCAACGACTGCCTATTTCGCAGACCAAAAAGTCTGCCTATCCCCCTTAGTCAGCCTTTCACGGCGGGCTGTTCCGCTGCTCATCTTTCGTGAACGCACTGGATAGCGAACGCGTAAACTAATAGCCAGGTCCGTGCTCCCTGAAGTTCCCGTTGCCCATTTGCTGCGAGCCGCGAAATCGATCCGCGTTCGAAGGTATGCCTCCGCCAATATGCAACTTTTTCCATCTAATTGACCAGGATCGTTACTGCTGGTTACCTACTTACCCATAAAGTGTCCATCATCGGTGTTATTTCTCTCCCATTTGTGCTGTGCCCCTTTGGCTCGCCGATCCCATATTCGTCATAATCACAACGAAAATTCGCGAATTATATCGTAAACTGTGGAGCCGTCTAAACCAGCTTTAACGGTTGTCATTTTAGTCTGTTTCCCAGGCTCTATTTCGCAAGTTCTCACCATCATTGGACATTCTGTCACAGGTTGATCGATTTTTCCAGACATGAATTGACTATTAGATGCTGCTTATAATAATATTGATAGTGCGAATTATTTAGTGAACGATTCATCCCGCCAGTCGATTTTTGGCACTACCTGTTCAAATCTCACGCGTGTTTTGCCTATCCAGACTTGGACACCCCACCACCCTACCCCTCGGGCAATGAGTCTGGCAAGAAGAAAGTGGAATCTTCCGATGACTCGGACAGTGATCACGTCTATGCAGGAATGCCGAATGATCACACTGGCGATCAGGATGCTAGCGGTAAGGCATCCCCTCCTGCTGCGCCGAAGCCGTCAAACTTCAATGATGACGATTTTGATGACCTCTCTGCCAGGTTTAACCGCCTAAAGCAGTCCAAGTAAACTTGGTGCCACCCGCTCCTCACTATACCTGTCAACTCTTCAAAGATAATTTTCACTATTCAGTAGACAGTCTTTCGGCCGAAGACCTGTCCTCTTCCATATCGCATCGCCGTCCTTGTTTGCCTGAAGTCGCTATGGCCTTCTACTTTTCCTAAACCTACGATCGCATGCGGTGTCCGCCCCTGTCTGGCCTATACCGTTCACTGTATCTTTGTTTTTTCTATTTTTGACTCGCAATATTGATTATATTTCAGAAACATGACCATATATGTGCGTCTGTTATTTGTGGCAGCGTATGCATCCCTTTAAACCCATTTAATCCGTCCAGTTCGATGAGCATTTTCCGGTTACTGAGGGTGTTGTCGTGTGTTTCATCTTTGCTCACGCCTCTGTCCACATCAGTCTTTGGAACAGACGTTCGACGGAGATGCCGTCCGTCTCCCATTGTATAACGGGCTCTCTACGGTTTCGACGGCGTAAGTTTCGCCCAGTGGCCAGCTAACATCGGCTTACCGACGTCATGCTGCGAAGATGCACAGGGCAGTTTCAACAGTGAAAGATGCCGCACCAGCTACGACCAGCTGGTGTTTCGATGAGATTTCCTCGCCAACTGTCGCGACCAGTGGTGCGTCTCATGATTATGGAGTATAGATTCATAAGCAGCTGACCGTCATTTATAGGTAATCATTCACATAGGTCGGTGGTGTAGTGCTCTGTGCAGGCAGTAGGTGCTCAGTCCTGCGGATGCCAGGATCCCTATCAGGGCTTGCTGGCAGTTCGAACTTTCCGAATTCTCCACTTACTGTGTCCGTTCGCCTGCGAACTTGGTCCAGATGTCGACGCACAATTCTCCCATCTTCTACCTCTAGTTCTACTACTTGCCCCTCGCTTGTTCGAACTACCGCTGGACACCAGTTCGTTTCGTGTTCTAGTCGCGTGTAGACACTTTCTTTGGGCGCGACGACTCGTCGGGTGTTCACATCATATCGTGCTTTCATCTCCGTCTGCTTTTCAATGACTCTGTTATGCGTTGGTGAATTAAGCAGGTCGAGCCGTGTGCGCAACTGCCGTTTGAACATTAATTCTGCAGGCAAAACACCGGTTGAGTCGTTTGATGTTATGCGATAGCTGAACAAAAAGCATCACAACTTGGTGGCCAAGTCCGCTTCTGTCTGTTTGACCAGTCCGTGTTTTATTGTCTGGACTGCACGCTCTGCGAGGCCATTAGAAGCAGCGTGGTACGGGGCAGTAGGTAAATGCCTAATTCCATTTTCTCCATGAAATCTTTAAATTCTGCACTCGTAAAGGCCGGACCATTGTCTGAAACGACCATTTCAGGTATCCCAAAAGTAGAAAAAACGGTTCGCAACTTGTTGTAGTCAGGGAGGAACATGGATTTCCTGTCGGGATCGCATCAATCCATTTAGTGTGGGCGTCAACCATCACCAAGACCATATGACCTTGGAAGGGCTCAAAAAATCGACGTGTACCCTCTTCCACAGCGAGTCGGGCCAGGCCCAAGTCTTCATAAGTACCCTCTGTAAGGTCGTCTGTGTTGTTTGGCGCACGAGACATGCTTTCACCCCATCTGCGTCAATTTTGGGCCACCAAACATAGCTGCGGACGATAGCTTTCATTCTAACTGTACCAGGATGAGCATTATGGAGATCTCTGAGGATGACCCGTCGGCCTTATGGTGGCAAAACTACACGACTGTCCCATAGTATGCATCCGTCTTGTAGACTCAACTCGTTCTGATGGCTGAAGAATGGCTGCGTCTGTTTTTCAGTGACTATCATGCGTTGATGGATTAAGCAGGTCGACACAGCATAACGAACATGTCTTCGTTGCCGCCTACACCGTTACCTTTCTGGCCAAAGGACACCCAGAAACCCTCAAATGACTCGTTGTAGCAATGGTGGTAGACATCTGAGGATTACATTGAACTACTTACGATTTTGTCACCCGCGATTGTACTAGACGTCCCATCTAAGTTGAAACCCCTCCGGATGAATCTCGGAGAGTTGGGACAACGATATTTCGATGCCCTCAATTTACAAGAGGCTACAGATCTCCAAACAGCCTTCACAAAACACCGAGTCAGCGTGAGGAGGAAAAGATAGCGTCTTCCTCAGTCGCTATCGGTTTTGTCAAATGCGTCAAGAATCCAACCAATGTGTTAGTGATTCTATTGCGAATCTGACCCTGGCCATCCAGGACTGCAGGTATAAAGAGGTCAAGGCAGACAACTTCGAGCACGCGATGCTTGTTCAGCAGTTGATCGTTAGTTTGCGCGACGAAAAAGCTCGGGCAAATCTCTCATCGGAGAAGGATTTGTCATGGGCGAAAGCCTGTGATATCACGAGTCATCAGAAGCGCGTATGGCAAAACCTTCAGCAGCTGGATCAGTCAATTGATGGAGTGATATCATCCTTGGAACCTAAAGTGGCTGTTCCCCTGGTCAACACTGCTATGTCTTCACCTAAACAGCGACCATCAGCTCCCTCAAAGCAACTATCATCCTGCTACCGCTGTGGTCAGCATCATATCCGGTGGTCAGAGTGTAGACACCAGAAGACGGTATGCCAGTTTTTCAAGAAAATCGGTCACATCGAATGAGTGTGTTTCTCCAAAAGACGGACGAACACTAACACGCATGCGACCTACCCTAATCCAGCTGGCGATGGCGAGGCGATATTCCGAATGTTTTCGGCCAACGCGCCGCTCCACTTGCCCTACACCATCACGCTTCCGGTTGATCGCCATCCCGTGAGTTTGAAATCGACACTGGCTCAGCTGGTACTCTCATCGACTAGGCCTCTTTAGAAATTACCCCCTCCCCCCCTCCGGCTCGTTCGAGATTCCGAAGTCGGGCATGAGGGGGAACTTCATTACTTGTCGGTTCATGTGATGAGAGGGAATCAGCAACCAACTCTCCTCGGACGGAGTTGGATTAAATGTGTGCCTTCTATGATATCCTATTTACATCGGATTGGTGTGAATCCGGCCTTAGATTCCATTTTGGTCAATCGTAAGGAACTGTTTCGTGACGATTCTGCTACCCACCTTCGCCGTCCGCCTGTTAGGTTCCTGTTTCAGTCAGATTTCCGGTCCCGGTTCTTGAAAGCTCGTCCAGTTTCCTATACAGTCGCACCGAATGTCGAATAAGAGCTGGATCGTCTACCGAAAGCGAACATCATCGAGCACGTGCAGTATTCGGAACGGACAGCCCGGGCAGCATACGCTGCACTAACATCATAGGTACAAGATAAAACCGGGACACGTATTTCGCCGTTTATGCCGCTGCATGAGACAGCTGCGATGGCGTTCGGCTCATCAGCGTGTCTCCGGCGTTTCGCACGTGTTCTCTGGTACATCCTCCAGTGCTCGATGTTGCCCTTTTTTAATTTCATCGGAAATTCATGGATGAATTTGAAGTAAGTGCCGCAGAATAAGCCTTTCATAATCGCGGCCCGAGTAAGTATCAGAAATGTTACTGACAAAGACTGAGATATTGGAATGGTCATTTCCGGCTTTTTGGCTGTTATTCGCCAGCTTTGCTCTCCTGCCGCACACCTGGAATTTGAACTTTTGTAATTTGGTCATCAGACATTCTTATGTCAAAGACTTTCCCAATCAGGCTGCGAATTTAGTTTGGGTATCTTTAAAGTCAAATGGGAGTTAGATCCCGCGGTCTATCCCGGTTTCCGGACGGAAGAAGGGCGTCTACATTTTGCCTCGGAACTCGTGATCTAGAACCCACACGAGCGACTATATGACGACTAGCAATCTGCAATCAAATAGTGCATGCTTAAATTTAAATATTGTAATTCTGACCTCCAAACCGGCGATCGACTGATATGTTCAAACACCATTAAGAACGATTTTGTGATGAGGGTGTAGCGAGCGTAGGTGGGCTTAGCGGACAACACACACTACCCGGAGCTATCAGATGACATCGTTGTGCTTTTAAAAGTTGTTGGCGATTGACGGATTAACATACGACGGAGTTAGCCCAACGTTATTAGCGACCTTTGCGGTTTCTCACCCATTTCGTCTTGAATACCGCTGAGTGACTTCAGATGAGGGTCCAAACAGCATTCTACTACATCTTACCCTTACCCTAATGCGAGAGCTAATCACACGTCGCTGGCGTCTGCTTGGTGTTTCCGCGAACTAATCCTTTCCTTTGGTGGCAGCATATGTGAGCAATGTATAAGGTTGGAGTGCGGCCTTCCTACTTTGACGATGAAAGGAACATGACCTCTGTCCTTAAGGAAACTACACTACATCATCTGCGTAATCATCATTCTTCTAGACAACCGAAGTAATTTTTAGTTTGAAACCCGTCGACGAGGCACGGAAAACTGAAAACGAAAATCGTGACGAGGGCGCGCGTGGGAGTTCTCATTACAACCACCGTGTGCTGTTTGAGTCTGATGCGGGGGCGATCGCGAATGTTTTTGTGTGATGCCAACTACGGATCGCAGATTTAGCACCTGAGCAGTCACCAGACCCTTCGAAACACTGGTCTGTTTAGGTGCACTCGCAGTTTTTCGTTTTATATGTATGAATCGTATCGATTGCTTGGGCTATTGCAAAGCCCCTTTTTACTCCTTTTGTTCACGATAAAACTCGCCAATAGGTGAGGTTAACCCGTAAGCAGAGCTTTCGAGGCTTGAACCCTTGAACACTTGATTTCCAAGCGTTTCTAAGTGAAACTTTCAACTACTTGAGTTACGCTTTTAGTTCGGAAGTGATGTGCACGCATCTGTCCTGAGTTCTGGAGGGAAATGGGCTGCAGGCGGCCGCATGATGGTTAGCAGCCACTAAACATGCGGTGTCCCACACATGTTTCGGGGACAGTTATATGACCATTTTCGCCTACACACCGTCAACAGCCTACGATAACTGACTCCAGGTCCAGCCAATTTGTCACCAGGACATTTTTTCCAACCGTTTTCCCTCGAAAACGAGTTTTGCTTTGGGACATGTCAACT